GCAAATTGCATGCTCCTTATATGGCGTATGATCAGCAATAATAGGTCAAAGAGAGTACTATAAACATTAAAGAATTTGGCAGTAATAGATTTCGTATTTGATTTAGCCATTTATATTTTATTGAAACGCTTCAAGCTGCCTGTGCGCATTGATGCACGTATCATGTGACTGTACATGCAGATGTAACTTGTAATTGTCAGACTGTAAAACTGTGATATACGTACCGGCTACGTGACGTGTAGCCGCTGAGCATGCAACGTACGTCACTTATTAGACCTGATAGGGCACGTATCATGTAGACTGTAGACTTGAGATGCGCGTATGTGACTGCTCTTAGATTGACGGATTTGTGCGTTGTGGACTGTAGGTTGAGATGCTGCGTATGTGACTGGTAGATTTGAGATTTAGCGAATTGTGCGTATTGTGACTTGTAGATTGCAGATGTGCGTTATGTGACTGTAGATTGACGATGAGATGTGGGTATGCTTACTGTAGATGTGGAGATGCTGCGTATGATGACTGTTAGGCTTGAGCATGACCTGCGTATGTGACTGTAGGTTGACGTTGCAGAATGTGCCGTATGTGACTGTAAGGTTGGATGCTGCGTATGTGACTGTAGCATTGACACTTGATGTTGCGCTTATGTCGCACTTCTAGATGAGGACTTGTGTCGTTATGTGACTGGTCAGCATTTGAGATGCGCGTATTTGACTGTTAGGTTGAGATGTGCGTATGCTGCACTGGGTAGGTTTGAGATGTCGCGCTATGTCGACTGTAGATTGAAGAGATGTGCCGTATGCTGACTGGTTAGATTGAGGATGTGGCGTATGTGACTGTAGACTTGAGACTGCGCGTATGTGCACTGTAGAGTTGAGATGTGCGTATGTGTACTGGTTAGATTCGTAGATGTGCTGCCGTATGCTGGAACTGTACGTTGAGATGCTTGCGCCTATGTGACTGTGATTTGAGATGTGCGTACTGTGAGGCTGTAGATTTGAGAGCGCGTATGACTGACTGTCAGATTGCACGATGGCGCGTATGTGACTGTAAGCATTGAATGTGCGTATTGTGACTGCTGAGCGTTGAGGATATGTGCGTATGTGACTGTAGGTGCAGATGTGCGATATGTGACTGTATGATTGAGATGTGCCGTATTTGACTGTTTAGGTTGAGATGTGGTATGTGACTGGTAGCGTTTAATGATATGCGCTTATGCGGACTGAGGATTGAGATGTGCCGTCATTTGACCTGTAGGTTGAGATGCTGCGTATGTGACTGTAGCATTGACGATGTGCGTTATGTTGACTGTAGATTTGAGATGTGCGCCGGTATGTTGACCCCTGTAGATTGAGATGTGCGTACTGTGACTGCTAGATTTGAGATGTGCGTAATTGTGATCCTCAGACTCGCTCGCACCCCCGAGATGTACCGTACGTGACTAAACTGAGATGTACACTGTACTGCATGTGACTGTAGACTGGAGTATACCATATGGCCGGCTGTGTGGAAGCTGCATAAACCAAGGAATGGCACGGCTGTATTTGGCTTCTTATATTATTTTCTTAGCTCCCCTGACTTTGACATTGAACAGACATAGTCTCGCTCCTGCGTCATCTTATCAAGGTATCGAGCTGCACTTCTTTCTCTCTCGTGTTCCGTCACTTTATTGAGGTCTTGAACCGCGCACCAAAACTGTTCTAGGGCCTTAGCGTCATAAGGTACATAATATTTTTACATGCGTATATGTGACTTGCTAGATTGAGATGTGCGAAATGCTGACTCAGCATCTGCTAGGACCGAGATGTACGTTACGTGCTAAGCCTGAGACTGTACTGTACGTGCTCGCCACTGTAGGGACCTGACCTCTTATACATATGTGGAGGAGAAGTTTGATACACAAGGAATGCACGGGTTTATTGGCTTCTGTATATTATACATTAGCTCCTGACGTTGCACTGAAGCAAAATTAGTGTAGTCCTGCGTCATCTTATAATATCGATCGCCACTTCTTTCTTCTGTGCTCCGACATTATCTGGTTCTGGCACGCGCACCAAAACTGTTTCTAGTGGCCTACGCTACGGCTAACATAATTATCTTTACATAATTATAATATAAGAGTTCATAACGCAAAACTACCAGGTTTCTGCACAACACCTACGCCAGTTGCACGACAAAAGCGCCGGGATCTGCGCATAGGAAAACGGAGCCAACAACTACCCCATGAAATTCCTTCACTCCATGCACCCTTCACTGGCACTGCCTCACACGGCCTGCATTTTAAAAGCCAGGAGCACATAATCATTGCTATTTACGCAACGCGTAGATATCACTAAGGATGCTGCAACGCGGCGACCAACGTACTACATTAGGAACCACCACTACTATCTTATTATCTAGATGCCGTAATTCCTGCTAGCTACAAAGCCAGTGTGCTCACAACTAGAGTCCTCATTCTCGTCGTGCCCGTTAAACTTTGCTCACCCAGACGCAAACACCTAATTTTCTCTTCACACTTACAGCGCGATTTCAATTTCCCAATCAGACTTGACGCTACTCTATGACTTATAAACACAGTCACCATGGGGCAAAACTTTCGACACACTCAGACTCTATACCCTCCCAGCCCCTGCTGGTTCTCCCACGGCCAGCTATTGTTCCTTTCCCACGTGCCAGCGGCTACTCCAACACACCTCTACATCAAAGTTGGACAAACATTCATCACAAGGCCTTGTTCCAACAACAGGACTCCCACGCAAAACATGTCCATCTACAACAGCGAAATCCTTCTTAAACGACTGTAAGGTCAGCACCCAGCCCCATAACCGATCCCAACTTCTTAATATGCAACTCTCATCTACATACCTTGCCTTTAAACCCTTCCTCGCTTTAATTTTGTTGTTTTCATACGATGCTAAAAACTTGAACGTATGTCTTACATTTGTAGCTGGTGCCTGTTTAAATTTTCCATGTTTTTTAATGCGAGTGTATATTAGGGATGTCCTTCACCGCTCACGCACCTCTCACAAAGGGGTAAGAATTTTAGATCTTTTTATGAAAATTTTACCAGCAGCCGGCAATAAACATATAGCCGAAACGTATTTTACCGGTTTACAATATGCCGCCCCAGTCGGACTTTGGTTCAAAACAGTTCAACTGCATCGTTAGCGGGCACGGCGGTATATCGCTTTAGTAACTTATATGATTTATTATATATATATATTTGATTTAATAAAAAGAAGAATGCGAGAAGTCTATGGTTTTTCTATGATTTTATTGTTTTATATATTTAATCATCAAAATTTGGAAAGGTACTCGAGCGTACAGGTTCAACCTCTGTACACACACACACACACGCACGGCGCCACGCACCGCACGCACTCACCGCCACGCCACCCCGCACGCCACGCACGCACTCACCGCACGCACGCACGACCACGCACGCAACGGCACGCAACAGCACACACACACATACACACACAAAATTGCTGCCTTATAATTTACAATGGTGAGTTATCTGGATCGACCTTGTTCATAATAAACTATTTCTCAGCATATGTCATCCACAGGTTCATATTTTCCATAAATTATATGTTTACATTTCATTTGGTATCATCATAGATAAATACAAACACATGTGTTTGTATATATCTCTGGTATCATACACTCTTTCGCATGTAAAATGTAAAACGATGTAGCGCCGATCAACGCAAAGAATGTGTTCATTCACTCGGCGTGCTGGTGCTCGTAGAACCTGCCGCCTATATGCGGTAAAGAACACGCATACAGATTTGATGCACCTTTTGATCGGGATCCGCGATCGGCTCCGCATCCGGATTTCCTCCGGATATTAGACAACTGCCCGCCACCATTGCACCGTCTTCAATATATAATTTCAATAAATTAAAATGCGATTTATTTTAGCATGTATTAGGCATGCGCTCAGAGGCGATTGACCCCCGTCATCCGTCTCTACGATTTTTGAGCGTATCGTTGGCAGATTTGGACCCAATCTTCAATTATAACTAATAAAATGAGCAATTCAAAACGACGTGTTACATGTTAAAGTTCTACAGAGTATGTGCTTTCTACAGGTATAAAATTGCCAGAAAATTGTTTGTGGATATTTTTCGTTTTGCATCGTCTCACGCACGGCACTCTTGCCGAACAAGAGAATAGAGATGTGTACAATATTTCACTATATCGCTATATTATGGGGACGTTGAAAGGATTGGAGTCTAACTCTACAAAATAGGAATAACATTTTTCACAAGATAATACTCCAATTTTAATAAAACATGATTTCTTTTAGCAGATAGGCCGCGCGTGTACACGTACAGACCTGTGTGACCATAAAGTATATCGCTCCTTCTAATAGGGATAAGATAAAATATGGACATTTATAAGGACGAGTGCAAGAATCGCAGGCTAATAACTAATTGTGGGAGGCATTTGGATAAGCATTTTTTATCGAAAATACACAAAGTATTTTAAGTTTTTACACCGAGTATTTTCTTTTTGTTTAAACACATAAGGTTTACAAAATATGGCTTCTCAAGGTTTAATTTCATTGACGATTTTCGTTATTATCTACTTTCATATTTTTCAAAGATTGCTTTAGAGACGTCCTAAAGAGGACAAATGGTTAGATTTGTTTTAAGTGAAGAATATGCCGTTCTACTGACTGATATCACCGTGGTGAAAGCCTTAGTAATTTGCATGTGAAGTTACCCCATAGGCCTACAGAGTGGTGCAAAATTCGTACCATGTTGCTCGCAAAATCTCTTGTGAATAATATACGCTGAATTTTTGTTATTTAGCATAAATAAAATGTACGTAATTGCGTAGGTACTGGAACGTTCTAGATATTTTTTTATTAATTTCTGTACCATGCTTACCAGAGCACGTATATATCATATGATATACAGTACGTGCTCTGTGCTTACCCAGGCCTGGTGTCTACGGACGCCATCTACTGGTGAATTCCACCTACACGCATCTGTCGGCTGAACACATCGTGACGCCACGCTCACTGTGTGTTTGTTTAAGCCACGTGACAGCACATGAACATTCTTTCGCCGGCTAAAATCTGAACACTATACTTTCTTCGAGTCCAGCATTACAGAGCTACAGGAATATTCAACATCCTATGCCTATAACTTCTATTTCGACTCTGGTCACCGATGTACACGCCTGATTTGAATCGTTAAAACTTTTTCCCCCAGTATTTGAACGCCCGCTGAATCAGACGCAAGAGGTTCTGAGAAATCGCAAGGCGTATATCCTGCGTTCATCGCGCAGGCGGCGAGCTATAACGTGTTTGTGTCTAGCCGATATCGCGTTCGTCTGACAGCGTACGCCGCGTCTGCTGGAGTAATCGCAGCGTATACGCCTGTAGCGATAATGTCGAGCTGTTACGTCGTCGTCGTGACTGGAGAGGTCCTTAATGATCACACCGGAGATCTTATTTTACAACAACTACGAAAAGGTAAACTGGGGAGAAATCAAAAGACGGAAAGAGGGAGGCACATAGAGAGAGAGAGAGCGAGAGAGAGAGAGAGAGAGAGAGAGAGAGAGAGAGAGAGA